GCCCGCTCAGCCCCGGCCCTGGCTCCGTCCTCCCGGGGAGGGGTGCGAGTGCGGGAAGGCTGAGGTGGAGGTGGGAGCCCTGTGCAAAGCGAAAGGGCGGCGTGGATAACTGGCCACGGTGACAGCAGCCTCTTGGGATGAGAGCAAAGAAGTGGCTGGTGCCATCTAGCAACAGGTCTAAGGGGAACCTCCAAGCTGTAAAGCTTCATGGTGGGACAGCCCGCTACGCGGAGAGGCTGGTAGCTGCTGAGCTGCTCTTCTTAAGGAGAGTCGGATGCCAAGCGCTAAAGCCACCAGGGATAAATCAGCCTGTGAAAGGCCATGCTCCACCTTGATGAAAGAAAGGGATCAAGCAAGGAGCTGCAAGGAGTAAACAGAGCTGTTTAAATAACAGATCAGACGCTGTTAAATGTGAAAACCCCAATGGTAATCCACCAGGATCATCAGTAGAACTGATGTCTTGCCAAAAGCCCTCTGCTCCCAGTGAGTCTGGAGTGCTCTGCATCTACCTGGAATGTTCTGAGTTTTGAGTAGCTTGAAGTGTTGACTTGATGCTTGACCAACTAAATAAACAACTGTGATGGCGTGACTGGCCTGGTAGATGAGGGGAGAGCAGTGGATATTGTCTATCTGGACATCACTAAGGCATTTGACACTGTGTCCCTCTATCTTTAAGAAATACCCTAAGCATCTTTCTGTAGTACAAATTCTTGCTTAAGTTAATCCTATTTAAACACATCTTTCTTTTTTTAAATTCTGTTTCCAGTTCTGCAGAAATAATTTGCCCGAAGCAAAAAAACGCAGCTTCACTTGGTATTTTGCCATCAGTACAGAGGGCTTTTCCTTGATTGCTTTGTCTCCTTTGTTGTGCCAAAGCATTTTCTTTCTCTTTTAAAACCCTGAAACAAAGCCGTGACCCAAATCCTTGCTAAAATGAAAACAAATAATCTCCCAGCAGCCGGAAACATTTGCAGGTGAGACATATGGCACATGGCTGGACCCAGGAGGTGTACAGAAATAAATAAATAAACAAATCCCTAATCCTTCCCCAGGGGCAGCAGCTCTGTGGAGGGGACCAGATACCCCAGGCACCGCACCTCAGCCAGGAGTTGGGGATGACCCAGCTTGCCCGGACATGGTCCCCCGCACCTGCTTCCAGTATGGTGTTCTTGGTGGACACCCAGGGAGCTGGGAAACACAGTGCAGACCAGAAATCATGAATGGACTGATTACCAGCCTGGGGTATTTTTCTATGCGCTGATGCTGTTTTCCAACAGTGCTTTTACCCAGATTCTGCCCAGCAGTCGGATGGTCCCATCTCAGCTAGACAGGACCATGGCTGCTCTGCCCAGGGCTGGACTGCAGACCCCAGCACGCCTTTCCACCACAGCCGCTGTGATAGGCTGTGACTCCCCGAAGGCTGCCACCCTACTCCTACCCAGCTGCCCAGTCTGGTCTGCTGTCCTTGCTGGGACCACTGGGATGGCACCCAGGTCCTCAGTGCACATCAACACTGCCATGAGGCCATCACTCTGGGAAAGGAGAAGACCTATTTTATTGCATGTGTGCTGTTCTGGTGGGAAAGGGTAATTGAAGCAGACTAGGCTGCATGCTGGACTCGACCATCTGCTGAGTCAGGAGATTGTCTCTCAGCTGACAGACAAACATGATGCTAAATAAAAGGATGTCAAACAGGCTTTGGGCTTCTGGAAGGGCAAGTCTCAGCTGGCTGGCTTGAGGAGGAGCCGAGCTGCTGCTATACCAGCTGAAACCCCGAGGTCCCTGGGAGAGCTGTGGAGGGTTGTGAAGGGCTCTGAAGGCAGGGGGAGAGACCCACAGGTGTTACAAAAGGGACAGCCTCAGCACCAGCCTCTTGTCAGGGTGGTCCTGGCCTGATCCTCCTGGCCCTACAGGTCTCTCTGTCTGTCCAGCACGGAGAAATGAGTGGGTGCTGAGGGCAGCTTCCCAGTGCCTGGAGGTGGCTGGTGAGCTTGGGTCCTTGTGTTGCTCTTCATCACTTTCTTTGCCATCAGTCATCCTGGAGGACAGGTCACACTAACCCAGTCACCCAAGGACATCCATCTTGGTCTTAACAAACAAGGGCTGCCACTTGTTCCACCCTGCAATGCCTCAGGCAAAAGTTTGGGAAAGCAGTGGTCTGCTTCCATGTTAAACACCATGTCATGTCCTCAGCCCTGCCCGGGTTATTGCCTTGGCATCTTTTCTGGGACCAGAAACACCACCTCTTGTTGTCCTTGTTCATGGCATACCCAAAACAGAAATTAAAGAGGAACAAGGATACTGGCAACAGCGGCAGGCAGGAGAATAATGAGAAGGAAGGAAACTGATAATCCATCCCATTGCTGCTGTGATTTCTATATACTGCTAAATTTCTCATGGCCTGGAAGACTAGCCTTTTTCGGATGTTAGTGAGCTAACACAGTTTTGTGATTTCTCTCTGCCTTCTATGAATACAGAGTGCCCTGGTGTTTTACCTTCCAACCTTCTTCTGCTGCAGAGTGATATTTATTTCCCTTTTTTCTCAGAACTATTTAAGTAATAAACTCCCATGCTAAAGCCCAGTCTGATTCTTCCCTTGGTGGGCATCACCGAGGTTGTGCTGCAGGGCAGCTGTGCAGGACTTAGGGGATCCCAGCTCTGGGCATTACGAGCCCCTTCCTGTGCACCCTTCTCAGACCCAGGCCTCTGGGACGTTGCAAGGGGCAGGCAGGGCTCTTCCAACCTGCATCATGCCAGCACATGCAGTTTTGCTCTTCCCTCCCTCATGACAACCACATCCTTGCAGTGGCATGGTCACACATGATGACGCTCTGCAGAGCACCCTGTCCAGGGCCAGTGACCCCTTGTTTGGTTGTGGCCACATGCAGTTTGGTTTCCCTCTCAGTGAATCCATCCATCACCATTGGCAGGGGAGGAACTAGTTGGAAGAAACAGGGTCAGAGTATGGTGCTCGTAAGATGAATCTTTACTTTCACAGAACAGCCCATGAAAGCAGCATCTCATAGACATGTGGGCAGCTCAGCTCACAGATCCTGCATGCTTGGAGTTTCATCCCGTAAATTTCCTTTTCAGCCTGCTTAATCAGATGGAGACCAGTCAGACCACATGGGAACATAGTTGGGACAAACATTTCTGCCCTGAGAAATACCTTAAATTGGGAATATACCTCCATCTTTTCACCACCATTACTAGCTTGGCTCTTGTGGCCTAAATGCAGGAGGCTTAAGCAGAGGCTCTGAACTGATGGACCCTTGCACTGACCCTGCAGCTGTCCCTCCCACAGTGCCCCCCCATCCTGGGGCTGAAGGGTCCCAAGGAGACAGGACAGCGGAGCAAGAGGGCTGGCAACACCCCTCCCATCCATCCCATGAAAACCAGTGCCCCTGTGCTGCTTGCTACGTCAGCAAAGCCGCTTTATCCCCATGCTTATGTGGGACAGGGGTCATGCAGGAAATTTCTGGGCTATTTACCTACAGCATGAGCTCAGATCACATCTGCACACCTCTTGTCCCATCTCTGCAGGGCGACCCAGTGTGCAGTGTTTGGGGGATGTCCTGGGTTCGGCCAGGACAGGGTTAATTTTCACTGGACTCCAGGAAGGGGCACAGCCGGGCGGGCTGACCCCACCTGGCCAAACAGAGCCCGGTATTCCATACCATGTGCTGTCATGCTGGGTTCCGGTGGGGGGGAGCTGGGTGAGGGGAACTCTCTCGTGGCTCGGGAGCTCGAGGCGGTCGTGGAGGGTGGATCTCTGGGTTGTGCGGTTTTTGTTGTGTTTTCTCCTCATCTGTATCGTTGTTGTTCCTCTGATGCATGAGGTAGTCCCAAACAGGGTTTCACTTTTTTATTAGGTGAATAAAGGCAAGCAAACAGCGCTGGGTGTGCCGGGAGTCTCTGCTCGACCAAGATACACAGCGTCCAGTTCCCGTCTCCAGTTTATATATGGTCTGTTAATACATATTCATAGAGAAGGTTCTGGACTTTCCGATAGATTCTTCTTGTCCCTAATACATATTCATATAGAAGGTTCTGGACTTTACCCATGTGTCCTATGGGCTTGTCTTATGTAACACTATGTAACAACGAAACTGGTTTAAACTGGGATACCAGGGTGTTTGTCAGGCAACTTTGCAAGATACAGAAACAATGTATATTAACCGCTCTGTTTTCCTTAAGTCTGTGGTTATACAAGGATATGCGAGACAGAAAATCACATCCTATCATGCTGCCCTAGCATTGTTTCATATTTCCCCTTTTCTGTATCGTTGTGGTTACTGTTCCCTCTGTTTGCTGTTCTGTTAAACTGCCCTTATCCCGACCCACCAGTTTCTGCCTGTTTCTTTCCATTCTCCTCCGCACCCCGGCGGGGGGAGGGGCGGCCGCGTGGCACTTCCATTGCCGGTCGCAGCCAAACCATAACAGGGGATGAGCAGGCGGTTTAGGAATGTCTCACCAAAATCATCAGTGCTTTGCGGGAGGTCCCTTGCCCTGAGACCCATGAAATTCTCTTTTCAACCCCTGCCTTTTGTTCACAGTGCTCTTCCCATGCATCTTAAACTTAGAAAGACTTCACAGGTGAGCAATCACACATCTCTTGGAGGGAGGGAGGGAGAGAGGGATGGATAGATAGATAGATAGACAGACAGACAGACAGACAGACAGAATAAATGGGTAGGTAGAGGGATAGATAGATAGCTAGGTAGGTAGATGGATAGATAGGTTGGTAGGTAGATAGATGGATATTTTTCAGATACACATGCTGAGAACAGAGCATTACTCTTAGGTAACACTGTGGGCCATGTTAAATTCAATTTCTTGGAAAACACAGCTGGGTTTCCACCCTAAGGCATACCACAAGAGGTGACATGGGACGCTGTTCTGGGTGGGTTATTTCCCAGGAAATACCTAGCCTAATGCCAAGGCCCAGATATTTCCCTTTCACGACTTCTCAGGTAATGGGTGCAAACACAACCCCAGTGAGGCCCACTAAGCAAAGGGTTGGAGTTCTGCTGTGATGCAAGAGTTGATTGCAATCTCCAGTCACAGAGGGCAGGCAGAAATTAACAGTTACATTTAAGGCATTAAATCAGTGTGGCATAGGGTGTTAGGAGACATTTTAAGAAGAGAAGAGTGGAGTGGCAGCCTTCACACAAAACCTGTGCCCTCAGGCACATAGGAACCCGTGGCTCCTCCATCCCAGGGCAACACGTGGACTGTTCATGGATTTTGCTCCATCAGAGCGACCATCTGCCTGTACATGCACTGAGGGGCATCCCGACCCCAGTGGTGATCAAAGCGCTTCCAGTTGGGGAAGTGCTCCTGACGATCGAGGTTGGTGATGTGGGGAAGCGAGTGCTGGGTCTCCGGAGGGGGATTCACCCAGTCCTCCCAGCCGCTCCACAGGGTAGTTGGCACCGTCATGTCTTCTATCCTGTACAAGGAGGGGGTGGCCTGGGAGGTGGGAAATGCTCCAGTTAGTTGCAAGCTTTGGCACTAATAGCACTAATCAAGGAGATGTGCTGCCCCTGGCATCCCAGTGGACTCAGGCCACGCTGGCCACTGGAGGAGGCTACCCCATCCTGGTCCTAGTAGCCTCGTCCTCTGCTCCTCATTCCACAAGTGCCCATTTACCTCGTTGTACTTCTCCTGGTTCTTCTCCCCATAGTCAAACTTCTTGAATTCCTCGGGTTTGGCAGTCTGGAAGGTAGAGGCAAAAGGTTAACCCCGTGTGGGTAATGCCCTGGTTCAGCCCCACTGCAAGCAAAGAGCACCAGCAGGGTCCAGGTGAGCGCTCTCTGCCCAGCACAGCCCTGGTGTCTGGGCTGGTGCTTGCTGGCACCCATCCCATGGGCCACAGCAAAGAGGGAGTCCAAAAAACACCTGCGTGAGGTCCTTACCCAGGACAGAGATAGGCATCTGGGTGGTTCTTCCTTGGCCAGCCAGAAGCAGTAGCTAGAAGCTGTGGCTTTTGAAACGCCTTGGTGCAGCAACTTAAAAATCACTTTTATTGGCTTTGTCTGATTCTACCTCCTTACTTGTCTCCAGGGCAAATGAAGCAGCATTATAAAATACCATATTCACAGAATAAAAGAAAAAGCATTGTTTACAGATATTATGAAATCAGAGTCTCTACCTGTCCCCAGCGGAGAAGAGTTTTTACTGACGTATAGTCTGGAAAATGTGCTAGGTATACAGCCAGTTGACTCTGCAGGGAAAAAAGAAGTATTTTCTAAGCGAGTTGGGAATGATGAAAATTTGTCTAGGTGAAAAAAATCATTCTATCTTATAACTGCAATATAAATGTTATATGCTCCAACAGCTTTATTCTGTTCAGAGCTAGGAGCAGGTTTTAAAGGTAAACCAGTTAACCACCACTTTAAAATGGAAATACAACTGGCCCAGTCAATTTTCGTTATTTTTTTCTGTGAAGTTGTTGCAGGTCAACAGAGAATGAGGCAGGAGTTACCTTTCCTTTGCAGACAAGACCACAAGGGATTCTTTCCCACTGAAGCCTCCATTTGGATTAATACCCCAACATCACTGAAAGAAATCTCCAAACTTCTGCCTTGAACAGTGCTTTTCATACCTGATTTTAGGTTTTTATGCTCATTTTGTATCTCATCAGCTATCTCCAGGTGTCTAGGAAAACTGGAGATGGCTGTGACCTGAAGACCCTGGTGCACCCACCATGTTCAAGTTCTTCTTATTGTACCTGCCAATATGGAAGATCTCATTTTCACAGACTTCAGCTGTTAGCAGATTGCTGCACGTCTTGGCAAGGGTGGCTCTCTCCTTCCTCCCCACCGGAGTCAGCTGTTTTGTTCCAAATATTGCCTGCAAGAGCACAAGGAAACAGGTCACAGTGGGTCCTGCAACACTTCTCTGCACGGGAACCTCTTGTTCCCGGCCAGCGCTGACAGGCAGCTCCTCAACGTGATTATTGACACATTTGAGCTAGCCAGCCTCTTGAGGAGGTTGACCCATGGTCTCACTTGACTCTCAAAGCAGCATGAAACCACCACTGTCCTTTCCACACCATGCCATCATCCCCATTGTCCTGGTGCATCATCTCTAAGGTACCAGCTTCCAAAGCTCAGACCAGGACATCCAGACTCATATCACTCATCTGCCAGCTCCATTGACAGATGATCCTCAGGTGGAGCATGTCCAGGGAAAGTGCCAGCTCCCTTTCCAGCCCTTTTCCAGCTGCTGGAGCAGAGGGTGGATGGGAGGCGGTGTGAGGCTGTTCTGAGCACCTCCTGGGCTCTGGGACTGGAGTGTGGTTAGGTCAATAAGCGAGAAGATAAACAGTAATGATAGAGAGGTACAGATATTTTAAATGGTGAAAAGGGATATCCCTGCTGTTTGGGATCTTGAGATCGCTCATGTCCCCACCTGCACCTCCAATACCTGCCACAGGCATGGGCTCAGTGCACAGTGGCAACGCAGGGGATGTGAGTTGCAACAAGATCCTGAGTTTCAGTAGTAATAACATACAAACAACTCATACACCTTCAGCATCACGTCTGGTAAAAATGCTATCTTTAACGTGGCCCCTTTGACATGATGAAAGGTGTAGAGAGGAGCCAGTGCAAAGAAGAGTTTGATTTTCCCAGCCAGATGTGGCATGCTCGAAAATGCTATGAGACCTGAAAAGCAGCAAGAGATCATGACGATAACCCCAACAGTGACACTACTCATCCCAGAGCTCCTGTTTGAGATGCAGGGTCTGAACAAAATGAACCTGCAGTGCTCCTGGATGTCAGCACAGCCCAGGACGTCTGGGCAAGACACAAAAACCCTCTCCCATGCAGAAGGACCAAGAAGACAGGTAGGAAAAGTGGCAGCATGGGACAATGCAACCCTGTCCCCAGCAGTTTCCAGTGTGGGATAGACATTAATGCCCCTCTCCCATGTCATTCTGGCGCCCCACTCGTGCCCATTGCCTGCTCCTCCTCCTCATTCACCCAGAGAGTTGCCCTGAGCATGGCCAACATAGAACAGTTTCTCCTGCCTGGTTTGCCTTAGAATGAAGCCCACCATGGCAGGGAGGTCATACATGGCCAGCTCATGGAAACTGGGGAGCAAGGGGAGAAGCTGGAGGAGGTGTCCATCTCCCAACCTCCCATGGACCTCAGGTGGTCAGCGCTGACAGCCCAGTATCCTAGCCCCATCCTTGGCGGCCTTCTCACCTGAAATCCCAAAACTCCTCTTGGTCAATAGAAGGGATCAGGTGCCAGTGGGACCAGCTGTTACCCTGGCTGTTTCCGATCCAGACGTCGTACCCCACACCTGCAAGGATGAAGCCCAGGCTGATGCTGGAGAGATTGTCCACCCAGTCACTACCATATAAACTGAACCCATGAACTATCAACATGGGTGACCTGGATCCTGAAAGAGGAGAAATTGGGTACTTCACACAAAAACCCCCTTCCCATATGGAAATAAAATGGCCCTATGCATCTCAGTATTATTTTCTGCAGGCTGCACATTAAATATTCCTTTCTCCCATGATTTGTCTGGCTCTGCTATTGCTTTTTTGATTTGAAGGACTTTTGCCACCCCTAGGTCTGAGCTATCAGGAAACCTTGGACCAGGGCAAGGGAGTAGCTCCAGGGAAGGAGATGCTGGGGCTCGCTGGGTCGTGCTACCCCATCCCGGACACAGCGAAACACAATGCTGAGCTCCTGCATCCCCAGGGGCAGCTCAAGGCAGCTGGACAAAAACTTCTCATCACTCTTCCAGCTGCCAAAACTGTGTTTGAAGGCACAGCCATTCACACTGGCTTCCCCTTGCACGCTACCTCATCTCTAAGCAGGGTCACAGCTGCTTCACCCTCAGTGAAACCAAACCCACCCGACTGCCCAGTGTCCCCCTTGCCGTGAGGAATCTGGTAGAGGCTGAGGATGTAACCATCCTCCATCAGCACATCATACTGCTCACTGGGGTACCCGTGGAA